AAATAAATAAATAAATAAATAAATATCCTTTGGGCAAAATATAAATAAAAATAAAAGGAACAATTTTCTAAAGAAGAATACAACTCTATGTAACAAAGTATACATGCAGAATGATATCTTTGGGCCCCATTTAGTATTGTATTAATAAAAATTATAGCACGCAAATACTTGGTCCTTTTTTATTTTTATTAAAACTCTCAATAAACACAGTATCAGAACATATATAGATGAACTCCATAGTTTCTACCGAATGAGAAATGTTTAAATTTTGAAAATCTAAGAGAAGAAATATCTCTTGCACACTTTTTTGTTGAAAAATTTTACTAAATAAGTAATTAATGAGGGGCTAACTCTAACAACCAGTTACAAGATTCACCCAATAGGATCTGTGGTATCCATGATGAACTAGCATGGTAGAAAAGAATAAGCATTCAGAGAGTCACAAAATAATTCACCTTCTTGTTGTTTATTCAGTGAAAACAATACTTTATGCCAAATCTGAATCTGATTACTTTCTATTCTTCTTCTATCCTTCTTTTTCTGTTCTACTTATCTGCTTCCATTTCATGCTAGCTGGTTTTATGGCTTTATCACTCCTATCAAGTTCTACCTGACCAATGACATGTCTCCCCAAGATTCTTTATATAATTATACTGCATGTCTTCCCTTAAGACAATCACTATTTTTATTATTATATATTTCAAATAGTTGATTATTTCTTACTAAACATTTTCAGTACTTTCACTTAACGTTCCATAATCACATATTCACTTAACATTCCATAATAATATATGGTATTTTAAAAAATTCCTAACAATTTCTAGAAGTATTCATAAGCAGCCATTTCCTTGAAAGTATTGTTTCTTAACAATTTGGCAAGATCTAAATGTAGCTCCATGTATACCCATGCCTTTCATACAGCATAAGCAGCTAATAGAGAGACACAGAAGTAATTTGTATGATTTGCAAGGCTATATATCTCATCACAAAGCCAATTTTGTCCTGGGCCTAGTGATCTGAAAATCCTAATTTAGAAACATAAAATTAGCATAACTACTTTTATATAACCCCGGCTAAACGTTTGTCAGAAATCTCAGTGTTACAAATATGGAAATCTGTTCAATGGCAGGGACAGGTTGAGGATCTTAATATACTAGTCTTATCTCAAGATGCTACAATATTAAACTCACTTTTTCACCTTCCAAAGGAATAGTCCAAATATCTGGAAAAGCTTGTCTTAGAATGAGCTGTATTTCAATCACCTGGAAGCCTGTAAGACAAAGTGTAAATAGTATAATAGAAAATGAAAATAGTACAGTTACAATATACTTTCCTGTGACTAAAGAGGTTCTTCAGCATTGCATGAAAGCATTTAAATGAGAAATTCATAGCACTGTTGTCCAATTGAGAGGTGGGAAGACACCAGAGAAAAATGTTAGCAGAACATAAAAAACACACATAAAAACAATAGAAATAAATGGGATTCATACAGTTTTTCTTATCCTTCTTTCAGTATATTATTATAATTTATCCCACCTTTTTATTTATTTATTTACACACACACACACACACACACACACACACACAAAATATAAATGATATTTATATATATCAGCAGCTGGATAGCATAGTGGTTAGAGCGCTGCCCTTTGATGTGGGAGACTGGGGTTTGAATCCTGGCTGATACCTACTTTACCAATAGGGGTCCTTGGGCAAAGACCCCCTAATGCTTCACCTGCCTATTATGGATATAAGAGTGACACAAACTAAGAGATTCATGCCAGCTCAGACGTCATCCAGATTAACAAGGTCTATGCCAGATGTTGAGGAACCAGGACAATCTGATGATAAATGGGGTACTGGAACAAACCATACATGGACAAGAGAAGAAAACCTGGAATGGATGGAGTGCTACTACAACAGTAGACCTAATGAGAGGGGATATATGAAATGTATGAGGGAACTATGGATGGACAGAAGACCTACATGCACACTAACTGAGAAACAGCTAGTTACCCAGTGCTTCAACATAGTGAAGAGGAAGCTGCTCTCACAACCTCAGATAGACCAACTACACATTACATCCTGGATTCAAGAAGACCCAGAAGAACAACTGGATGTGCAGCCAACACCTGAACCTGGAACGTCACTGCCACCCCCTCCATTAGAGAACACAGCAGCTGATATGAGGCATAGGATCATGGATAAACTAGTTACAATCAACCCTTGAGACGAATTACCAAGGCTCAGTGGAGAAGTATCATCAGATAGTATGCTAGAAGATGCCAACAGAGCCTCATGACAATCCCTACCACCACCATAACTCAAACCAATGAACTGGTATATGCTACAGCAGCTGTAATCCTAGAGATCCTTGGCTACACGATCAAGAAGAACAACAGGACATACCCCCCCTCCCCGCCCCAAGAAAATGGAGGCTAAGATCAAATTAGTCAGCTGGTAGAACTATAGAAGGGTGTGGAGATTAAGGATAAGACTCAGCTACTGAAAATATAGAAGGGCCTGACTCCATCTGAAGCCTTAGAGACTGCTAAACAAAGGCTCACACCAATGGCTACCAGGCTTACACTAGAGAAGCAGAGGCCAAGAAGATAAATGCCCTGTTCTCCAAAGAACCATCCAAGGTGTACTCCCAACTGCAGTGCAAC